ACTACGACGACGACTACGACTGCGACTACTGCGGCGACTGCTACTGCGACCACCTCTGCTTTGCTGACGCTGCTGTCCCGTTGTCGTCATTCCCGCAAGCCTCGATGCTCTGAGGTCGCCGGTGTGGTGGGCAAAAATGGCACAGGACTGCAGGAGATCGGAGGCCTGAAACCAAGGGTTACCATAAGGCTGGCTCGGCTTTAAGGGTCTCAGGCTCTCTCTGGCTGAGGGTTTGTGGTTGTGGGTTGTAGGACAGAGGAGGGTGTCACCTGTGGCCATTGTTGGTGGAAGTATTGTCTTGCTATTCCGTTGGAGCCTCGGAGAGTGGCCCACCCCAGCATGTATAGATAGATTAGTATAGATGTAGCGAGTTCGGCAGCCTACCTACTCCGTGATGGTACTTATCGCTGGTATCGTGGAAACTCCATAACTCCATACTGGCTTGTCTGTTGGCTGTCGCTCACGGTAGGGCACCGACAGAGATACAGAAACTTTTGAGGCGTTCAATTTTGGTGTCAAAGAAGGATGCACTTCCGTGTTTTTCGTGTCGCGACACCCCCCCCGGATGCAAGTCTTCAGCTTCGGTGTTTTGTGATATCGAGGTGTTGCAGGGAGTGTACCTAAGCCGTTCCGGAAGCCTAAGCTTCAGGCTTCTGCCTTGTGCTACAAGACTTCACTCAAGAGATGTCACTTCTTTCATGCTCTTTCCGTATTTCTTTGCACACGCTCTCATGGACACTTGGTTCGTGCACCGGTCCGCAACGAGCATTCCAAGCCCGAGTTACCCACAGCACGTGGAGAATCAATGAGAAGGGCTAACGGGAGTTGGAGGACACCTATACAGTCCTAATGACCCAGTTCTGAACGGTTCAGGGAGTTATGGCCTGCTTCAAGCCAGCCCTGAATCATCAAGCAGCTGTAGTTCCGAGACAAAGCTCTCGCTTGCGCAGCTGCGACGGGCACGGACGTGGACGTGCGGGATACGGAGGGTGTCTCACCCGACAAAGCTGTGGTGGCCTTAGGGATCTAGATGCTTCGGTGATTGGTTCCTTAGGTTCGCACCTTACCAGCAGGGGGTTCATCGGGAAATGCTACCGCAGTGGGTATCAACTCCGTAGAGCCTTCAGCAGGACCGCTTGGGTCATGATTGTTGTGACAACTCCAAATCATGAAGCATTCGTCGTGTGTTCCCTGACCACCCAGTGCTTGCAAGTAAACCTATCCAAACCTGAGATCATCATCAGCGGCGGCGCGATCGGCTGCGTTTCTGCTCGGCTCATAGCTGGACTGGGCTTGAGTAAACTGCTTGCAGCTGCGAGATACTACAGCTTTCGCCACGTGTCACGGCCGTCAGCTTGGCCAACACTCACTCGTCGAATCTTGTGGGGGTGCTTCAGCTTGACGCGCTTGGGTAGCATCAGATTTGAGGCCTTGGTTCAGCATGTGGAGTTGAATGCAAAGCCGGGTGTATTGCTGAAAGATGTGGTGAGGCTGTAAAGACTGTGAGGGTGGTGGCGATGGCGATGAAATAGTGGCCATACGGGTGATCATGAGGTTCATGATTTTTGACATGACAAAGCTAGTATCTGTGAAGTCGACCATCACACGTAAACTGAGTTATACAAGTAGTGGTACTTGTTCGAGTACTCGTGCGTAAAACAGAGCCAGGGTAAAAGCCGTGAAGTCGTAATGGTACCAGTGGCTAAGTGTGCGAGTCGAAATCGGGAGGAAGGATGGATGGATGGGCCGATGGATCTAATTAGATAGCGACGATGATGATGATGATGATGATGATGGTGTTCATGATGCCCCGGCACGCAGACCGAAGCTCTCGGCTCCGCTTAGAAGATCTTGGCAATGGCTCGCTCCGCTTGGCAGCTGGTGCTTACCTCCTTGGCTGTGGCCGCAGCAGACCCCAGCCCTTGTTGCAACAAGACTTGCGAGTGGCCCAAGCTGAAGGTCTTCAGCACGGATGCGAAGCATGGCTTCTGTGGCGAGGCCTGCATGGACCCAAAGAACTTCAACTTGTTTCACAAGTTCGAGGCCAATTTGACCGTGGCCACGGAGGAGCATCCGTGCAGCAAGCAGTGGACCCCTCTCAACGACAAGCAGTACACTGACTACTTCGACACCGTAACTCACGGCTTTGGTCCTGTGTCGTGCACCTTGGACCTGTATGCCCCCACCAACATGCCCAAGCATGACTGCTGCTTTGCGCCACTGATTCCACTCATCGGCTGCCCTGGCTTCCTTCACAAACCGACGTCTGTCCTCATTGATGGAACGGGCCCTTTCTGCTGCCCGGAGGGTGCCACCCCAACGCAGCCCTGTGGAAACCAGAGCCTCCCGGTCCTCTCCGATAGTCCGGTCATCGTCTAAGTAGTTCAAGGCACCTCGAAGGGGTGTCGAGGCTCGGAGCGCTCGGGAGGAGCCCCAAGCCAACAGAAGAAGCTCGATAGACCCGGCTGATGAAAGATCGCTCCAGGCGTCGTTTTGCGACATGGAGATTAAAACGTGCGTTCGTGTTGCCACATGTTCCTACATAGCGACTCGTTGCGATGCGTCTCAGAGCCTGCCCAGAAACCGCAGCCTGCAGCGGCCACGAACGCGGCTGTTCACATCATGTAGGCTTTCCTTCTTCTGCGCATGCTGATTAGAGTGGTGATGGCGTGACAACACTGCCGAACTGTCTTTGCTTGAGGCCTACCTGCATGTGATCTCCCGCATGGCGACCCTGCAAGAGATGATGGGTCTCTTGCTCAGCTGCCGTCGGATTCGAAGTTCCGAGACCCCAAACCCACGACCTGTCTTCTCGGGATTTCTCTGGGACAACAGCTCTAGAAGGGTTGCTGTGCTTTTGTGTGCAGGGCCGAGCCTGAAAGTCGAAACCCTTTGCTTGGAGTGCTGAGCAGCGTCCCTTGAATGGGAGCTTGGCGGCCGGATACAGAGGCTGACATCGTAAAATACCCTGAGGCACAATGCAAAGGACCTGAGACATGAACGCCAACGGTCATGCCGTGGTTTCTGCACCGATATCATTCGTAGGCCCTTCTGTTCATCCACTGGAGTCATTGGAGACTTTCCCTGCATCGCCTGTTTACGGTTTAGTTCGGAGCATGGCTTGAATGCAGTTTTTCCGCATTGTAGGACGCTGCCCATGACCTCAGAATCCGGTTAGAAAGGCTTTGAATAGCCGCCGTGCCAATTCAGGCTCCGGTGGCGGTGGCCTGAGCACACTCTACACGTTTGCTGCCGGGCCGGTGCATAACTTGACTTTTTGGCAGTTGATATTATGGCGGGTTGCACGCTTTGATGCAGTATTTGTACTAACCCAGTGCGATCCCGCATTACTGTCGTCGTTATCATCATCATGATCATCATCACCACCACTAGTGTCATCAACTCTCACCATCATTGATGGCATACTCTCACCTGCTTCACCTCATTAAGAACAGCATCTTCATCACAGCTTGCCCGCCACCACCATCCTCATCAGCACCATCATCTTTGCCACCCCCTGCATTTGATGTATCACTTTGCCAGCGTTTTCACTGTCACATGCGCTGTCGTCGTCGTTTTCATTGCATGCTACTTTGCGTTCAATTTTCACCTGCATAACTACAGTCATGCTGACCAGTGAGGATGCTGCAAAGAGGATCCTGGTGTTGTGGCAGAGGGCCTGGCTCTTCTGAACCGTAAACCCTAAGCCCTGAACCTAAACCCCTGAATCCCCATGACGGACATATGAGGAGCCTTGCCTGCCTGTGCGAGAGTGAGAGTCGAAACCCCCATGGCCTAGCTTGACCTAGCCACTCATGGCAGGCTTGGAAGATGGGCCCTGGACCTCAGAGATTATGGCAGGGCTTACTTTAAGGGGTAGTCGGCTCTGCCCCTGGACCAGAGGCTTGCCACTTTGGGTTCCAGGGCGGTTTAGTGCTCGGCTCGGGCCTCGTCGTGTTATGCGGCTTCGGCGGCTTCGAGTTTACTCGGTTTTTGGACAGTCGGATCTTTTTTTGATTCGCTGACCGGGATGGTTTGCTTCCAGGTCCCCTAGACCCTGCCTTCCCGGCCGAGTGTGAGCATCCGAATGGTGACGGCTCTGAGTGTTCTGTCAAACCCCGGCAAGTGGACCTCCTTCACTATGATTGGATCATATGGGGGGTCTTAGTTCTTACGTACACCTTTTGTTTCCTGTGGCCCCTATACCACACCTTTTTAGTAGTCCTTACGTGGAACCCTTGAAGGGAACCCTATACACCGTCATTGTTTCCAGGCTCCTTTGCGACTCTCTCTCAGGAATGTCGCCGTTCTCCACACAGGTCTGAAGAGTCCTGTAAGTTGTCAGGCAAAGCGCATTTCCCTGCGAACCATGGACCAACCTCGCCTGCGTTGCTCGAGTTGCGAGACTCTAAACCCTAAAACCCATAAACTCCGGACCTAGCTCGGCAGTTTCCTCGCGAGGTCTGCCGGAGCTGGGGCGGAGCCATACGATCCGTCCCAGGTGGCGGGCAGTTGCTCTTCAGATACAAATCCCACACCCCCCAAGCCACGACCCTCATCCCGAGCTTTCGTTTTTGACACGGGACGCTGTCTTATACTTGTAGAGGGCGGTTCCTGTGATCGGCTCGGTTGACTTAGCTCGGGTTTGTATACTTTACATAAGAGAGGCCCTAAGCCCTAGCCCTATTCAGAGATGTGAATGGCTTCAGGGACCAATCTGGCGACCGGTCGCATGTCAGAAGGTCTTTCGCAACTGTCTTGCGCAATTGTGGAGCTTTTTTTTTGAGTTTCGGCAGCTGGACTTCTTTGATCCTCAAAGAAAAATCCAAACCACAGTGCTATTCCGTGCCAATTCTACATTCAGATTTGTGGTCCTGACACTTTTTACCCCACGCTGCAAGTGTTCATCGCTGTGTCTTCCTTGCTTAGGTTAACGGCTCGGGATAGCCCGATTATTAAGACCCCTGTATCAAGACTTGGGTGCCCGACGACTCGCGTGGAAGGCGGACACCTCCAATTTCTTGTGAGCGCCGCATGCACGCAATGTTTCCATAAGAATATACTGCTAGTCCTCTGGCCCTATGGCATATTCAATGAGTTCATGTACTCGCCTATCAGTGGTGGTCATTACACGAGTTTAGCCAGCGCAGACTTCGGTTGACATTGCAGAAGCTTTGCGCTGTAGAAACTTACGTGATCGACGTCGAGAATCAGGGACTGCCCTATTGGCAATCCCGCCGTTTTGCTGCTGTCGTCGCCTCCTGCGTTGCAGCCCGCGTTCTCTGAAGTTGCTAAGCCCTAGGCCCTAAGCCTTAAAACCCAAAGCCCTAGCATCATGATCATGATGAGTGGCACGGCTGCGGGGCTCGGGAGCTGTCAATGGATCCACAGCAGGCGATACGCCGCCACCTCAAGGAGTCGGGGGCATCGACCCCGAGACCATCAGCTATGATATCGATATTCTGTTGGCATGCTAGCCAACTCCTCCAGCTAATGTGGTGAAGCAAGAATCGCGAAGCCACGACGAAACCGACACGGAATAAGTTTTCATCGCAGTCGAGGCAAAGAGTGCTTTCCCCAAGCCCCAAACCGTTCTCTAGCGCCTTCTGTTCCTCGAGTGCCTCGGAAGACCAGCTGTGATGCACAAAAGTGGCCTGAAGGGTTCCAGGGCCTAGGATGTGGGTAGTTGTCAAAATTAGGGTCCCTTTTGGGGTACCCTAAATATTAGGTGCCATATTATATTACGGACGCAAAAAGGGAACCATAATTTTGACAACCACCCATGTGGAGGATGGAAGATGCAGCCATTCATGCGTGAGCTTTGCATGGTAGAGCACACTCTGCGCACAACAACGAGCCGGGCTTGGGTCATTTGCAGCTCTTGTCTCGACGTTTAGATCTCGGGGTTTCAGCAGTGCGTGGGCGGCGTGCAGCAAGGAACTTGAATGGCTTGCGACCACGATTTACCCAAAGGCTTGTGACGATGGGATTTGGGGTGCCACGTACTGCGCCACGAGCTCAGGCTAGGAGATGCTTATTTCCAGCCAGTGAATCGCAGAAGCTAGGATAGAATACTTTCGAGAGGCCTTCCAATCGTGCGGGGGCTGCACGGTTTAGGGACTAGAGCGCTTATAGAACCCTGGTAGTAGCCCTTATGAGCCCCTTTGAACGGAACCCTTAAAGGAGCCTTATTCCCTACGCTAAGTCTGAAGGCCCCTTATGGTTTCTGGGTTTGGGTCTTTGGTTTAGGGTCAAGGTCTTAGGGTTTAGGGTTCTCGCATCTTGCCCGCCAATGCCGCGACCATGCTGCTGTTCTGGCGAGTGGTTTGGAGCTCAGAGACCTACTTTGCATCTGAGTGCTGTTAAAGGAAGTTGGGGTAGTACAGGGTTGACACGATTTCTCATAGTAGTCGTTAGCCGTCTTCATCCAAGCACACCCCTATATGCCCCGAAGCCCTACTATTTTTTGAGCCCCAGAAGAAGGGTAGCTGGAGCTTGTCCAGAAATCTCGTCCATTCAGGGAGGCTTCGTAGGACGAGCGAGAGGGCCTTGGAATAGGTCTTGCTTGTGGCAATCACTATCATTCCTATGAACTACTCTCAGCCTTGGCGCTGTGGCTTCATGTTTGTGGACAGCACTGCAGGCATGCTGGGCCAACTGTCGAAGAGCTTAAGTACTGCGCGTATTCCTGTGTTAGCCAGAATCAGTAAACCCTAAACCCTAAATCCTAAACCCTAAACCCTAAACCCTAAGCCTCATGCAACACCTTCACCAGGCCGCTCTCGCCTGGCTCGCCGCATGCCGAGCTTGATCTGCTTTGGAGGTTTAGTGTTTAGGGGGTGTATAATACCATGATTCAATGAAAGATCTGAGGAATTGGCTTTGAATTTGTTTGGTACCAACACTCGCCAAGGAAACCGTTCAGTGGGGACTGGTATATCTGTATGTGTATGTATATGTGTATATTCATATAAATATAAACATAAATATAAATAGCTAGATAGAACATCATGTTCAAATGTCGTGCCTATGTGTTCTCGCTGCTCCTTCCCGTGCACCTAGGATGAGATGCTGCGAAACTTTCTGTGGGTACCACTCACTGCGCACGCGAAGGACAGATGCCGGAAGCTGTGCATACATCTTTTTCGCATCCGACTGGATAATTTCTGGATCTTATGAGAGGCGCTGGGCTACAATACCTCTTTTCTGGCTCCGATTTTCGCGGAGACCCTCGTCCAGAATACAGGATGCGGGGAGGTTGCTCCAACAGCCCGCCTAGGGCTCAAGGGTTGAGGGTTCTGGTTGTGCAAGCAAGCAGTGTGATTGCCTCGTGGATGACAAGCCGGTGCTTTAAGCTGCCTTGTCGCAGAAGGCAAGGTAATGTACCCTGAGCCTTATGAAGTCCTTGAAGCTCGAGAGTGAGTGCCAAGTTCAGGGATCGTAGGTATGCTTGTCTTTGGATCGATTTCTGTTGGGTTCCTGCTTGGTACTATCTACACGATAGCTGGCCATACGAAGTAATGTTTCTGTTTGCTGTTGACAGCTTCGCATAGCCCCGAGGCTACCCCCAACCCTGCTTGCTACCTCCTGCTCTTCCTACTCTTCCTGCTGCTCCGTCTCCTGCTCCTGCTCTTACTACTACTGCTACTACTACTACTACTACAACAACTACTACTACCTCTACACTACTACTACTACTACTACTACTACTACTGCTGCTACTACTACTACTACAACAACTACTACTAGTACTATTATATACAGCAACAACAACAACTGCTACGACGACGACGACTACTACTACGCTACTACTACTAGTACTACTAGTACTCCTAGTACTACTACTACTACCACTACTACTGCTACTACTACTACTACTACTACTACTACTACGACGACTACGACGACGACGACGACGACTACTACCACTACTACTACTGCCGCTGCTGGTACTACCACTACGACGACGACGGCGAACTACAAACTACTACTGCTGCTGCTGCTGCTGCTGCTGCTGCTGCTGCTACTTACTCCTACTGCTCCGCCCACTCCTGCTCCTACTTCTACTCCTACTCCTCGTGCCCCCACCCCTGCCCTCACCCCGACACCTACGCCTATTTTACATTGGAACTCCTGCCGCTCGTGCCAACTAGTACTGTCGCGACTGGTATTCACATTACTCGTGCTAGTACTACTAGTGCTTCTCATTGTACTAGTACTACGAGTGCTACAAGCGCTTATCGTACTACTAATACTACTGGTGCTACTGCCAGGTTCAACTAGTCCAGTAGTACCACTAGTACCACTAGTACTACTAGTACGACAAGTACTACTAGTACGACAAGTACTACCAGTACAACCAGTGCTACTAGTGCCACTAGTGCTACATGTGCAATATCTCTATTAGTGCTAGTAAAGTGTAACAATACTAGTACCACAGGAACTACTTGTGTTGCAAGTACTTCTTAGCACTGCTAGTGCGAACAGCAGTGCTCCCCATTCTGCCATTACCCCGTCACTGCCACTTCCCCAACCACTACGACTCCGACTGTGCGGCTGCGATGCGACGACGACGAGTACTGCTGCTGCTGCTGGTGCTGCTTCTAGTGGCACTCGTGCCACCGCCACCATGACCACCTCCACCTCCACGTCCGCCATCACCTCCAACATCATGTCCACCACCACCTCCACCCACTACGACGGCGACCGCTGCTACTGCTGCTGCTGCTGCTGCTGCTTCTGCTCCTGCTTCGACTTCGACTGCGCGTGCGCTTGCGCCTGATCCTGCTCCGGCTCCAGCTGCTGCTGCTGCTGCTGCGACCAGTCCCACCACTACGGCTACCGCTACTGCTACCTCTACCGGGCTACCGCTGCGGCTTCTGCTGCTGCTACTTTGGCGATGGTCAGGACGACGACGGCGGCGGCGGCGACGGCGACGGCGACGGCGACGATGACAACGCCGACGACGACAACAGTGCTAGTACTACCTGGCTACTGCATATACATACGTGCTGCTCGCTACTTACGGCGTAATGCTTAGTATGAAGTGCCTGCTCTGATACTGCGTGCTTACAATCTAATACTCTGGCCTTGGTCAGTTTGCACCAGCGTTTCTGGGCCCATATCTGTTTGGGTTGTGGTCTTATCTTTAGAGGGTCCTGGTCTAAACGAGGCACAGACAGAGTTCCGAAACAATTCGTTTAAGAGTGCCGCAAAACCGTATTGAAACCTCCCCTATTGGCAGGAGTTTAGTCATTACCTGCTGAAATACAGACCCTTTCACATGTGTTCAAAGCTCGACGGATTTGGCGGATTTTTTGCGGCATCCTGAAACAAGAACTGCGACTAACCCAGGAACCCTATGCAGAGCCTCAACAATGCTCTCATCGTGCTTGCATTTGGGTTATCCCACAGCCTAAGAGTTACGGGGCCAATGCGTCTTGCCTTCTAACCGAACAGCGTCGCCAGCAGAGTCCGAGTTGCGACAGTCCAAAGCCTACGCTTCTGACCATTCAATCGCCGTAGCAGCAAAGGAATGTTGGTGCACGCTTCCTTCCCAACCTCCTTGTCACAAAGGCTCGGGAGGGCAAGCGCAGTAGCTGGAGATATTTGGGCTGTGAGTCATCGGTGTTACCGCCTGGCCAACCGTCGCCTCGGTCCGCCAAGTTCGCGGAGTGAGACTCGAAAGCCCAAGGGAGTCTCTTTGAAAGAGGCGGGCGCCAAGACGGAGCTCCCGATGATGTTTTCCGTGCTTTGCGGCTACGCCCGGGGCCCATGCTTTCTGGACTCTTCCTCCATGCGTGTCGGACGAATATAGGGCTTGTAAGTATTACTATTCTATTTTAGTATTAGTATTATGCTTACTCTGACTATTAATTTTTTGTGTCTCTATAATACTTATTATTACTCTTATTGTTATGATTATGATGATTACTATTCTGCTCATGATTGTTGTTGCTATGAATTCTGAATATTCATGCCAATACCACTTTTGGCATGATTATGAGTATTTAATTGTTATATGGTCACTCGTATCTAGTAGCGACCCTTCTTTCTCAGATGAGGGTTTCGAGGTTGAGGGCCTTGAGGCTCTCACTGGCTTGTCGCCTCAGGCTCGGTCTTGGATGCGCGGGGCGTTGGGGGGGGGGGGGGGGGG